TGTGTCTGCACGTGTGTGTGTGTGTGTGTGTCTGCACGTGTGTGTGTTCAGGTGTGTGTGTCTGCACATTGTATGTGTGTGTGTGTGCGCGTGTGTCTGCACGTGTGTGTGCAGGTGTGTGTGTGTGTCTGCACGTGTGTGTATGTGGGTGTGTCTGCACATGTGTGTATGTGTGTGTCTGCACATGTGTGTATGTGTGTGTCTGCACGTGTGTGTATGTGTGTGTCTGCACGTGTGCCTCGCTGCCTCTCACTCTGGCGCCTTCCACACTGAATGTACCGCGAGCGTGTGGCCCGTGCCAGCCCAGCGCCCTGCGGCTGAGCAGCCAGAGGGACAGGGCCCCATTCCAAGCGTCCACCTTCCCATCCAGCCCATCCTGTGCAATAAACGTCAGCAGCTGACAGAGCTACGCACGACTCCGGCTCTGCTTCTTCGCCACCGTCCCTCCCTGCCGCGGCTCCGGCTGCTCCCGCTCCTCGTCCCTGGCCTTGGGAGCCTGAGCACTGGGCACAGGCCCAGCGTGGGCTGTGGGATGCAGCTTTGTCCTTTGAAGAGCTGACTCCCTGCCAGAAAAGCGACAAGGTGAAAAGCCTCCTCCCAGCAGCTTTCCCCTCGCTCCAGCAGCAGCCAGGAAGAAGCTGGGAGCAGGCTGGGACAGGAGACTGTGGGTACAGGGTGCAGCCAAGAACTGGACCAAACACAGCTGCAGCTGCAAGACGCCAACCATCTCCAACACCACCCCAGTGGAAAGGAGGCCTAGTAGGTCACAGTCTGGGGAGATGGGAGGCTCCTGGCTGGAAAGGCTGCAGTTGGACCCCATGAAAGCCCCACTCCCTCTGCAGCTACACTGGCAGAGTTCTGTGTTTCTGCTACAAAAGCATTTTCAGAATGTGATGCTCCTGTGAGCAACTGAAGCCCAACCTGTCAGCAGAACAGGACCAGGCTGGGGAGGCAGCAGTCCCATCTCCCCACACCCCCTGGAAGGTGAGGTGAGAGCCCAGGGACCCAGCAGCCTTCAGGCAAAGATGCCAAGGAGCACACAGGTCCCATCTTGTATTTCAAAAACCATTTTATTTACAGTATTGTACATGTTGACCCCTGAATTAGTGGTTTTCCCTGTTCGAGCCCCAGTGAGCAGCAGCAAAACCCCGCCCTGGAAATGGGAATCAGGAGCTGCAAAGGCTGTGCTACAGAGTGGGGACAGTGCCCAGAGCTGGGGCAGAGCATGGAGCAGCACCCACCCCATAGCCAAGAGCAGGGCCAGGGCTCCTGCTGTGTCCAGAGTGGCTGCCTGTCCCTCTAGGTCTGAGCTCCACTGGTGGAGAGGAACAGTACCCAGGACAGGCAACAGCACAGCAAAGGCTGGGGCTCACAGTGAAGGTGAAGTTTGAGGGGAGCCAGCCCTGTCTACTGTTGCCCCTTTGGCCCCACCCCAGCTCAGGGCTGGGTGCCCTCTCCAGGTGCTGGGACACGGGCAGTGATGGCAAACAGTGCAGAGCCTGGCCCCCACTGGCTGCTCCTGCAGAGTCCCAGGGTGCCCCAGCACCTCGCTGTGGGGCAGGTCTCTTGCTGGGCTGGCAGCTGCACCCCCTTCCCCGTGAGATGGGGGACAGGCCTGGCACCCACTGCAGCCAGAGAGGTCCAGAGGTAGCTCAGGGCTCTGCAGGCAGCCATGGCTCAGCTGAAGAAATAGGTGGAATCCATCACCTGCTTGAGGTTGAATTCACCTGGGGGGAGTGAGGAAGAGGAGAGGTCAGAAAGCAGGGTAGGGATGGGCAAGGGGGAGAGAAGCAGCCTCAGGGTATGAAGGATCCCAGCTCCCGGACCGTGCTGCCCATGGAGCACTCTGCACAGAGGTCAGGCAGAGCCAGATGGCCTGGCAGACACAGGGCTGAGGGATTAGAAGGAGTTAAACTAATTGCCTTAATCCCATTGCATGTATATCATCTAGATCTTGGCAATTACTATGCTGAGTCCCTCAGTCCCATCTCCCAGCAAATGCTCATGGTTGGAAACAGATGGGAGCAGAACAAGAGCGGGATGGGATGAGCTCGGTCAGCCCAGGGGAAATTCCCTGGGGGCTCAGTGGGAGGGATGGTTACAGGGATGCTACAGGGGAATGTGTCCAGGCTCTGTCCCATGGCTCTGCACTCCAGCACAGGAGGGAACACCTGATTCTAGGGGACAGCTCTGGCTTTCTGTCTTTCGGGGGCCACTCCATCTCATTTCCCTTGTCTCCAAACCACTCCTGAGCTCTGCAGTTCCTATCCCATGCTCCTACCTGTCCTGGGGACATTTGACAGCTGCTCCATTAGTTTCTTCTGCCAAGTGGCTATGGTCTCTGTGTTGGGGCTGGATGAACCAGAAGAAAGCAAATCAACACGGGAGCTCTGGGAGAAGGTACACCCTCCTCTGCCCCCAGTGCAGCCCCTGACAACAGGATTCAGCTCTTCCAAAACAGACTGTGCACCCTCGAGTGGGAGCAGGAGCCCAGCCCTGGACACAGCAGCCCAGGGCAGGCCCTAAGGTTGCCAAACCCTCCCTCGGTTCTGCAGCAAGAGGGTGCAGAGCCCTTATTTTTCACACTGGGGTTGAAGGTGATTTGGGTGTCAGGCAAGAAGGAAGAATAGGTTCTACCCAGAGCAACCCCCAGACAGGTGACACAACCTGTCAGCACCTGGACACAATCTCTGGGAGAGGGACTGGTGCAGGCAGGAAGGAGCACAGTGGGGGAAACTAACAGGCCAGGAGTACCTGCAGTATTTCTCCAGCATAAACTCAGACAGATCCTGCAAGATCTTCTCGCTGTGCAGAGCCACAAACTGCTGCCGACAGATCTGACCCAGGGAGACAGGGTGAGGTGCAGTTAGGAGGCATTTTCCCTCCTTCCCCCCAGTGGCAGTTAAGAGTTGAGGGGCAGTGAAAGCAGGAGTGGGAAGGAGGTGCTGCCAGACAAGGGTGCAGGAATCAGCCTGGGGAGGTGGGAAGCAGAGGCCGACCCCCACAGGCACAACAGCACTCACAGCACTGCAGAGGGAAGGGCCCAGGACAGGGCAAGGGCACCAGCTCTGCCAGGGCTCTGTTCAGTGCCCATTTACACACAGATTCTGCCACACACTCCCTGCAGGATGGGAGGGGATGGGGCACCAGCAAATCAGCTGCGACTGCCAGCAAGCATCCCAGGTTCACTTCACCTGGGTGAATCAATCAGCCTATGGAGCAAAGCCCAGGGGAGGCAAGGCCTGGCACAGATCAGCCAGATCTGGCCCAGAGCACAGATCAGCTAGATCTTGCTCACAAGGGACCCCAGAGGACACTTACCTGGTTCATGATGTCCACAGTGAGTGCATGAGTCCAGTAGCAATCGTGGACCGAGACGAAGGTCAGACCCTGCCTGGGAGGGGGCAAAGGTGCCATGAAGTAGTGCTGAGAGCCCCTCTGTGTGATGACCCCCACCCCATGTAGACCTTCTGGCTGCGACAGGAACACAGGCCACATAAGGAGGGGAACTCCCTGCATGGCCCCTGCAGGTCTTCAGAGATCCCAGGATCTCCCTGTGCCTCCTCTCACCCCTTCTCTGCCAGGAACCCCAAACTCCCACCCACCAGGGAATCCCTGGTCCCACATGGTGCCTTGCCCAGCAACACCCTCCCAGAGGAGTCCCGAGCCCAGGAAGAGCCACCTCAGAGCCCAGTTGCCCACTCCTACCTGAAGCAGTGCAGAGCTGTGAGCATCATGTGTGTGGAGTCCAGGGAGTGGATGAAGTTGGGGGGGAAGGCATTCTTCTGCTTCACAGTATCAGGCTTCCTGTGGCACAGTAGGACACAGAGGAGCTGGGGCACACCAGAGCCAAAGATGAGAGTGCCAGCACAGAGGCAGTGCCACCTCAGGCCGGGGTTGAGGGGGCTGCCCTGGAGGACCCCAGGGCCCTGCTCCTCTGTCCAGCTCTCTGCAGCTCAGGGGGATAACAGGAGCTCTGGCACTCCTTGACAGCTTCCCTGACGGGAAGGCCTTGTCCCCAGAGCGCAGGCTGGGGTCAGCAGGGGCACAGTGTACTTTGTACTTACTGGCTGCTGCTGGGGGTTCTCACGCTCAAGTTCTGCATGCCACAATTCAGCTGTGAGTGGAGAGAGGGGACCAGTTATTACCCTGCACTGCCCGCAGCACAGGGCACTGCCCCACTCTTCTGGAGAGGACTGTGCCTTTCCAGAGTGTCCCAGCACCATGGCAGCTGCCACTCCTCAGTGACACCTTGCCCAGCTCC